GAAATATCTACTAATTCTCTCCTCAGCTTTCACCACAGCAATGGAGGCAGAAGAGCAGTGAAGCTTATCGCTCAAGCTGAGCTGAAGTGTTTTTGCTTTCACACAAAACCTCCCACAACGTCAATATAACGTCTATGAACACTGGCTCTAATGAAGTCTGGTTTCCTAAGGACTTCCGTCTCACGGCTGACTGACTTGGGAGTTTAATAAGATCCAAGCACCAAATGAAGCTTTTCCTGTGAATGGGGCATTTATTAGATCCTTAGTGGAATCTCTGGAGTTTAATAAAAGAAAGCTCATGCTGCAATATTTCCTTTTGAAAGGGCACTTTAGGTCTCTCTCCTCCAACTGGATTAATATTTTTTATGGAACATGTAGGAATTTAATTGCTGTGAAGGCTGGTGTTCCTCTACAAATTTCTTTAAAATTGGCCCAAGATTTTGATTTACTGTGAGGAAAAGAATACTGACAGACAGACAGACATACCCACTCAGTGTGCTCTCACTTGCTACCAATAACCAGGCTAAAAACTTTCTGTGTACTGTAGGGCTGCAGCAAACACTAAGAGTGTGCACATTTGAGACAAAGAGCAACCTAGAGATGCCTCTGATCTAGACCAGGATCAAGCCCAAATTCAACAGGCAGTGAAACAGAAAGATGATCCCCTCCCTTTTCCTTCTTTCACTCTCCATCCCACTTTCCTCCCTTAGCACTCCTGTTGTGACTTGTGGCCAGGAGGCCCTGCCACAGGTCCTGTTGCGGGGTGGTCCCCCCCAGCCAGCCCACTGCTGGTGCAAGTCTGAAGAGCAGTCAGCAGTGCAGCAATTCGAGGAGTCAGTCGGAGTATTTTAGATCAAAACTTACGTCCCTGATTTAGATACCTACAAAAGTCTTCCTATGCAAAGGAGATGTTGCAGGTAATTCTGTTCTCTTCAGCTGGGCTTCAACTTGACAGAAAGAGATGTTCAGTAGACCATACAGCTGGGCAATCAGTTATCTCAGTCCATGGGGCCTCCAGGTCAGATGCAAAAGTGTAAGATTCAACATGGGTTTATTATTCACCTAATTAACCTACCACAAAACAGCTTCCAAAGAACAAATGAAGAATAGGAACCAGACTCAGAAGAAGCCAAGGATCGAGCAGCTGGGCCACTCATCTGAAAAGTCTGGCATTTGGATTCTGGGTGCTGTAGATTAGTGAGGTGAATATTAAAAGTCACAGAACAAATGAAGACCAACACCACCTTTTGATATTCTTCAAAAACGTTTTGCCTTTAAAATTTAGCTCTTGTTCATGCTCTAGTATCCAGGGTTTCAGAAGCAGCGTTTTTCAAAAAATATGACCAGCTCTACCAGAATGAAAGACAGCAGAATAACCGATTTTAATGTAGGTGTCTGCTAAAATCCTGGCACCCATGGTGACTGTTGAGTATATACGCATATATATTCATAAAGCTAGCTCTGAGGAGCCATTGTTTTTAGAGTTGCTCCTTATTATCTAATTGAAGAACACTGAAATCATCTGTGCTGAGAAGAAAAATCATTCAAGTTTTATACATGCTGAAATAGTGCTGAGAACACTGGCATACCATATAAACACCCGAACCAAATGCCTTTTCCTCCTAAATTCAGATTAACATCCTCACAGTGATGTATGAGATCAAAGTCATTAGTCAGAGCTTGGTGGTTTATTTGCCACAACATATAATATTTTCAACCCCAGCTGTCCTTCCCTCCCCCTGTTATGAATGCAGAATACTACGCTTAAGAATGAGAAGGTGGTGAATAACAAACAGAGAATGATTAATAAGAAGTGTTTCCATCAAAACCAATATTGGAATAAATGATTAAACCCTTTCATAATCAACTCATTTATTAAAGGGAATGCCTTAAAGTGAAAGCTTGTCATTTATAGTCGTTTTTGCAATGGACAGTTACTCTGTGTGTTTACTTCAAGAGAACATTTTTGTACTTCACTAAATCAAGAAATACTGATTTTGAGCAAGTCGTTGATTTTATTGTCAGAACAAATTTAGCTTTGAGAATTGATTTTATTAACCTACTTCATAAGTTGCTCTAAACACACAATTTGTGAGCAACCCACATTCGCTTGATGTAAATGCCATTTGTAATTTAGCCAAAAAACAATTTAGGTGAAGATGGGCCAAATTCATTTTTCATTTATGTTTATGCCATTCTGGAATAAACTCAGCAGTCCTGCAAGGATATACAATTGTTTCTGACTAAGTGAAAATTTCATTCCCTTATTTTCATTGATGTAATTTCAGATTAACATGCTTGACTTCAACAGGACGTGATTATTTCACAGGGTTTTCTGGTTATCAGCAATAATTTTGGAAGAAGACTATTGAGCAAATTTGATACTTACTTTTCAGAACATGCATTCTTGGCATTTATTTCATGTCTGTATTTCACTGTGTATGTGAAAAACCTCAAAAATATGGATTTTGTGAAAAATGTCAGTAAGTAGATTCACTTAAGCCCCCACAAAATAAATCCTCCAAACAAGAAATGCTTACAAAATCGGTATGTACATCTCTACTGCAGCCTGTAAACAATGTGACTTCACCTATTGGGGACAAAAAATTATACTGGAAGTATTACTATGCATTTAGATTTCAAAAATGAGACTGGCCACTTTTTAGGGACACTTTAATATGCCATCATTTATGATGCCATTTAGAATATTTACTGGCATGCATTCACAATTTATCTGAAGATTATCTCAATCTATGTGGTAAGAACATATCTTAAATTCCCAGAATGCTGAAACATTTGCAAAATGTTGAGAAATGTGCAGCAGTAGTTTCCTGTAGGTGCTGCAGCATGGAAGCACCTGGATTGTTCACAGGGAAAAAAAAAGTTTATTTCTGCTTCTATGAAAAGGAGGCCCTACCCGAGCTGAACGGTGATGTCCTGAGAGCAATATGAAGAAGAATTTGCTCTATGACATGCTTTTCTTATCTATAATTTTGCAGAAGCCCTTTCTCTGTGGCATTGGAACTATGTTATAAAGTAAACTAAACCCGTTTCCAGCAAGTAGTCAACTTAAGAAAAAAAAAAAAAAAGATTTTAGGGCTATTTAAGTCTACTTACAAATTTGGCATATTTGATCTCAGCCCCAAAAGTTTACCTTTTTAATTTCATTTTAATTAAAAAAATAAAATAATTTTATTTCTGCATTTGCCAGACCCCCTGCTACAACTTACTCGCTAAAAGGTATTTGCATTTTTAAAATGGATTGAAAACTATCAAAACTCACCATTTCAGAGCTAGTGAGACACTTTGTTACCGAGCAAAATGAGAAAAAAATCTGAATACAAATACACAGCCGCACATTATATGGCCAGTAAAGCAATTATTTGTTCAGCCTGAGATGTGGATCACCAGGAGAAGGCAGGGAGCAGACGTTGCACCTGGCACCATTCCCTGCACCTCAGAGATCTCTAATCTGGTTATTGATGCCCCAGGCAGTTGTTACACGTACCCAAGAAGCGAGCAAACGTGCTTCAGGCAGCTTTAAGTTCCACGAAGCATGGCCCCTGCCAGCTGGTACGTAGGGACGGAGCGGAGAGCGAGAGCCTCCAGCTGGGGAGCACCGCTCGCGGTAGTGGGCTCCTGCTCGCCACCTGCAGCACTGGCTGTCCCGCAAGAAGAGGTGCCAGAGCAGAAGCCAAGGCGCCCAGAAGCCATATGATCTTCAGGCAATTACTAGGCTAGTTTAAGCCTGGGTTTAGCACAAGTCAGTCAGTTGACCCTGTTCTGCTTTACATGGAATAATTATGTGTCTGCTGGACCAGCGAGAATACAAAGGCCTCTCTATCCCAGAACTAGGAACAGGGAAGCTGAGGTTGCTCTCCTCAAATTTGCAAATACTTAGGGTGCAGTGACATGTGAAATGGAACATGGACACATTTTTCTGTTTTGACTCTAGTAATAAAATTCCCAAGTGCTTCTGCAACAGTAGCATTAGATTCCATCGTTTGTCCCTGTGAAATTTGGTAAGAACTACCCAAAACATTGACCACACATTCTTCATGTATGTGAACACAAGGTCATAGTCACTTCCTATTACTCAAAGTCTACACTGAAACAAGGAACAAGCTCTTACCATTGTTACAGTGTATTTTAACTGTGATTTTCCAATTGTGAAGGACTGAGGAAAGGCCAGGGAGAAAATGAAATACAAAATTAACTGGATCCTGGTTACTAGCTTGTACAGTCCATAATATAACTTTAGTGTGTTGAATGTCTCAAGATTTTTTCAAGCACAGCTTTCTCCCCACTTTCAAGCTGACTAATTCTGGTATTTATTGGCAACAGCCAATCCCTTCCTTGTGCTATCTGTAAGCGTGGCTCACTGACTAGTCAAGAGTACCATTTATGTTTCTTCATCTTTATCTATATGTCTTGGCATAAACTAGAGATGCGGTAAGTGTCTTTTAGTCCTATACTTTTTGCACTGCTCTTCAAATAAGAACTAAAAAGCATTTTGAGAAATGTATTGAAATGCAGTAGCTGCACTACAATACTGCTGTTGTGTAATTACTTACTGTAATGCTCCTCCATGATTTAGAACAGGCTTAGATGTAAACAGAATATATATTTTTTCTATTCAGGAGTTCAAGGAAATCAGACTGAATGCTGGACTAAAGGAAAGCACTCTAAACTTCTGATAAACTCCTTAGAAGATCTGTCTCAGAGTAGCAAGCAACTTTCTACAGCAGTACGTATTGTTTATGTAAGCCCCTCTACGCATTCATATGCCATCTCCTAGAAAAAAAAATAAAATATAGTCTTGTATTTATATGGTACACCTTAAAATAATCATGTGAATGGAAGATCTACTCCATATTGTGCAGTCCAGAATCATCTGATTCATTCAGCATATTCTGATATACAATCCCTGTACAAGAAACTAAGTTATCTGTCTCCACAATGTGTAGAAAAGTGACAACACATGAAAAACAGGTGTCTACCTGAGTGATGTCCATTCCAGAGTCACAGCTCAACGGCTGGGTTGATGTGAGGCCGTTTGAACCTATTATTGTTGTGATCACACCATTCTCATCAATTTTGCGAATCATGGTACCATCAACGAAGTAAATAAATCCGTGCTTATCTACAGTGATACCTGAATGAAGGGAAAGGGTAAAAAAGAGTGTTAGTACTGACATTATCTAGATTAAAAAGTATGAGCTTAAAATGTTTTCTCTCCTCTTAAGATCCTGAAAATCTGCTGATTAAAAAAAGTATGACTTTTTTTTTTTCTACCCATTACTTATTTGAGGCTTATACAAACCATATACGGAAGGATCATACCCATATATCAGACTGTCTGACTTACAAAGAAAGGGGGAAAACATGAAGAAACAGAACAAAACAGCAGAGGCTTTGCTTGTAATTTAATTCTATATACATAGAATTAGGCTATTCAATAACTTCATGTCCATCACAAAATGGAACAAGACTAGCTTTTCTAAAAACTTATCTGACAGTTGATTTTTCTTCATTTTCACTTTCTTAATTCTCAAGCAAGAGGCAATCTTTTTTTTTTTTATTACGGTACTGTCTGAATTATCAGGGTGTCTGAGCAAGGAAGAAGCACCCACAGAAAGCGAGAGAAATTTTTGTTGTGATACGGGCTATACATCCCAACGGTGCAAACCAGGCTCTGCTTAGCAGGCAGAAGGAGCATTTGTGCTGCAGGATGTATTGCAGTGCAGTGTCGCCCCAGACAACCGTCATGTACTGGGACCAGTCACAGGACAACAGTGGGCTCCAACGGGAGCTAGTGCAGTTCTCCCACTTGTGGATCTGCAATAGCTCTGTCACCGCCTCACTGCACTGCACAGGAGAGACGGACCCTGAAACAAACGTGAGGGCTATGCAAAAAGGAAAGCTCATGGTCTTCTGTATTTCGGTGGGGAAACCGAAGAATGGAGGGCTTGCAGTCTCCCACCACCAGTGTGCGGTACAGCCATGTCACAACTCATGCCTGGCCTTGTTCTGTCCCAGTCTAACACTTTCTCCCTAGTTCTTCCTGCGTTCAATTTGTTAGACTCTTCTATATTGCATAAACTGTTAGTAAGATCTTTTTTCCCTAAAATATTGAAAATATAGCTGGAAAAGCTCTTCTAGTCATGTTAGCTTTGTGAAATCCTTTCTACCAAAACCGCTCAATTTCTTGCTTTAAACTACTTCACAATTTCCCATTTAAAGTTGCATAACTTTGCAATTATAGCAGCTGCTGTGCACAGCCAAGCTATTTTAATAATGAATTTATGTTCTGCTACACAGAAATGAAAGGCAGAGGACTTGAACAGATGGTTTGGACAGTGGCTTATGTGGTTCTTGATTTTTGTCCCCTGCATTTAGCACAACTGAAGGCTGCATGTACTCCGAGTTTACAAAACACTTGTCTGCACGCCAGTTTAGGATCTCACACACAGCAATTCCACAGGCCATTAGAAAAGAAGAAAACCCCCAAACTGAATTCCCTCACCTCCCAGCCCCATTTCCTTATACTTAATTTAGTTTCTTTAAATATAGAGGAGCAGGTGTAGCTGGAGGGAAGGGACACTAAGCAGTCTCAGGGGCAGGGGCAGGACGAGGCGGCCCTGACAGGCAACATGCATCTTCCACAGGGCTGGGAGAAGGGGGGACAGTCTGCTTGGATCCCTAAATAAATCTGTACCTGGCAGCTGAAAATGCCTGGGGATGGAGTTTGAGTTACAGACACATTTGAGTGTAATACGCTTTCTCTGACAGTGTTAACACCCAGCAGGGTCCCAAGACAAACTGCCCATGACCACCTCTTTTCTAACAGAAAGCAGGAATAATGCCCGCACCAGTTTTTCCTGCTGTGGCCAGGCAGTTAGCGAGGGCTTGACTCTCCCCTCTGCCAGAGCAGGCTGACCTCCTCTGCCGCAGGGTTTCCATCCCTTACTCCGGCCGAGAAGGACGCACTGAGCGAGGCTGTGAAGGCCTCACGGGGGGACAGGCTTTCAGGTACACCCTGCCATCATGTCCCCCACTGCACAGTTCCCATCCCGGGGTGTTTCTTCACCACAGGTGACATTTAGGCACCTTGCTAAGGTCTGAGGGTATCATCACAAAAGAAATCCAAAGGGCACAGCAGCTAACTTCATCGCCTAGCGGTCCCACTGCATCCAACTTTCAAGCTATCTATCAGCACAGTGTTGGTGGTTGAAATTAATTATTTAAATTGCCAATCCAGCGTACTCAGCTGAAGAGGGGTATTCACCACCCCATCAACTTCTCCATCCACGACAAAAAACGCCCACTGCCTGCTGAAGTGCCACAGGGTACAGGGTTAGGCTACACCGCCTCATTATGTGAAACGACTGATCACTGAAATGTCCAATTCTCCAGGACAGAAGTCACCTAGGGGTTTGAAATCACCTGGAGGGGGGGCGGGGGGGCTGGATGGGTCAGCTGGGGGGAAATCTGGGAGGTTATAAAATGGCTCAAGGAAGAGCAGCCATCTTAAGGCGTGACTCCCTGACAGCCTGCGAGCTTGCGGACAATGCCTCCTTGGTACCAGCTCCCTCAGAGGATCTTTGAGAGTAATAGTGCTTTCAGAAACTAGAGAATGACTGGTAAGCTCGTGGCTGCTGTCTGCTTCTGAGAAGTCCCATTATAAATCCAAAAGGCTGAAGGTTTGAAGGTGAGCTGAGGTAAAGAGTGCATCTGAGAAGCAAAAGGGTTTGTTTTGGTGTTGGGGGGCTGATCTGTGTGTTCCAGTTTTTGGGAAGGGACAGCACCTCCGTCTGTCCCTTGTGCATGCTAAAGTCACTTTGCACTGAAGACACCCGTGCACACAAAAGGCCAGAGTTGGAGGTGCCTGCAGGGCTGGAGCTGAGGGCTGGATGCCTCTTCAGAAACAAAGGCTCGATGTGTGAAGGAAGCTGCAAAATACCTTTTGATATAACTGATATGCTAAAACATCCACCCTAAAACCCCAACCGAAGCAAGAAGAAATCCAGCCTGGTTATTAATGACCATATAAACAGCTAATATAGAAATCTGATGAGGTTCTTCCAAATGTAATTCTGAGGGAATGCACACAGCAGAAGCCAACAGAGCAAATCACACTGAAAGGACTGCACCTTCTGTGGTGCACCTAGAGGACTGCAAAGGTTTTCACGACAATAGTTCCAAAAAGGCCTGAGTCATGATCTGCGGTTTAGTTTCTACATGGCTAAATTTTCTCCTCAGAAAATGAGAAGGGCTGTGTGGACACTGGTACCACAGTCTGGGGCCACAGAGCAAGTGGAGCCAGGCCCCACTGTTCTCACTGGGATGCTCAGGGGTGCCTGCCCTCCTGCCTGGGCTCTGTCCTGCTCTGATGAGCTTTATGCTGCAAAGCTGAAACATGCTAAGGGATTATTAGTAAATGGAAAAAGCAATGAGAAATTGTTCTAGGGCTTTTTCTTTAGGGATGTGTGAAGGTTGGAGGCGAAAGTCTCTTCAGTCCCAGCCTCCTACTACTTTCCAGGGAGTGTCTTCAAGACTCCCTTTGAGAAGAAAAAGCTGTATTGGACTGCTGTGGCATGGAAGGTGGGAGGAACAAGGACAACTGTATATGACTGCTATGGTGTGCACACAGCTGTGATTGTTGGGGGTGTTTTTGACCTTATTGATATTGCATTGTGGAACAGTATTAGATGGGATTCGACCTGCTTTCCAGTGTGGCTCACAGGCTCAAATGACAAACCTGATGTGGGTGGAAACTACAGTACATGTACTGTGTTTTAGTCTGCCTTTGCAGAGGGGTGGTGCTGCATGGTAAGCAAGCAGCTACGCTTCTCACCTGGGTAGCACAGCCCTGGATCGGATCCATGCCATGGATAACACAGGGCCAAGATCTATCGCTAGGGCAAGTGCATCTTCTGTTTTATGCAGGTTCCCTGTGAACAGATGGCTGTGTTGGCTGCAAACCATCCATTATATAAAAATCAAAAATTATGCTGCAATGAAATAAAGCTACTCAGCTGTGTTGCTGAATGGATTTCAGACACTGACTGTATAAGAAAACCAAAGATCCTTTCATGTTAATAGTGTACATTTTGCTCTGCAGCCATTGCAGGAAGGCAACCTATCTGCAAGGGAAGCACATATGCTGATGTGATGGCATAAACAAGTCCATGTCTTCAGTATTTGTACTAAAGACAATAAACTCCTGCTACTTCCTAAAAAGCCAGTTTCTTCAAGTACCAGTGTATATATGTTCAACAGCAAACTACTGCTTCCAGTGCTTACTTCCATATACTAAAACAACATGACTTTTATCTATTTGAAAAAAATTACTTATGCATTTAAGTCTTGTTGACAAATACCCTATATAAGCATCCATTGGAAAACAAAATACAGATTTGTGGCTAAACTGTCCCAGTTTACTCATTATTAGAGTTGGATTCATTAATGCTCCTGTCACATCTTGCATGATGCTTCACATAATCTGTACTGCAAGAGCTTATTTTTAATCCTTTTCTGACGTACAGTGTAATGCAGAATCAAATCACATGTAGCACTTCAATTGTGCTTTAACCACCAAGGAACTCAGCGAGGGAACATCCACGTGCTGAGTGTAATGAATTGCACTGAGTGCAAGTAGGAACACTGCTCACTCCACGAGCGAGTAAAAAAGGTAATTTTAAGGTTCTTTTCTTTGCACAGAGAATGGAGTTTGTATTAGACTCTCAGTCATATTCTGCTTTTTTTAAGGAACTGTAGCACCAAACTGTATGCCCAATTGGGCACAAATGTGACCCACTGCACAAATGATGGACTCACCTTGCTTGGTTATGAGATTCCTTGTTAAACACTGATGTCTGAGTAACGACAAAATAAACTTGTGCAGTACAGATTATGTGAAGCATCATGCAAGATATGACAGGAGCATAAATGAATCCAACTCTAATAATGAATAAACTGGGACAGTTTAGCCACAAATCTGTATTTTGTTTTCCAATGGATGCTTATATAGGGTATTTGTCAACAAGACTTAAATGCATAAGTAATTTTTTCAAATAGGTAAAAGTCTTGCTCTTTGACTGAGTACTGAGCACAATCTCCTTTTCTGAGCAACATGCTTCTACTGAAGGACTG